ATATAAGATTCGCATGAGAATTAATCTTTTGGAGTTGTTCCCTGGTCGCAAATGTGTTTCCTTGGGATTAAAAGGACGCCACTGGGGGGTCTCTAGGACCGTTGCCGAATTACTTTACGATTTATGCGTTTATTTTTACTGGAAAGTCCGAAGGAATGCATTAATTCTAAATTTTGCCAGCGAATGCTGGCCAGTAATTCATAAAGATATAAGTGAATAAGCGGAGCGAATGATGGCGTGCGATTTAAAATTTTCCTTTTTAAAGAAAAATTATTTTATATTTTTGAAAGTTTAGCGTAGATTTTTGAACACCCTGTATGATTTAAGCTTACGATATTTATAGCAAAGTTAAGTATATACCTTCTAAAATAAATACCTAATATAGTTTTGATTTCAGAACAGTTCTTGTATTTGTAATAATTTTTTTAAAGAAGGTTGGAAAATATAATGTTGTGATTAAAAAAACCAAATGCTCACAAAAGATGAGGTTACAATGCGATTTGATTTAGCAATAGCTACTACAGCTGCTGCACCCTACAGGGTGTTACAAAGTTCGGACAAAAAACTTCGTCTTTTTGTTGTGCCCTGTATATTATGCTCAATATAACTTGGGAATAAACATTTCTGACGTAGCATCCGTTAAGAAGGAATTAATTTACAATTTAAAAAAAATCATCAAAATCTAATGAGTGGTTCGCGAGAAATCCAACTTTGAAATTTAGACTAGTTTTTAGTGGCCGTTTTTTTTTGCCGGTGAATTTATTTTCTATTTATTTATTAATGTCTCTGAAACTATCGAAATATATTTAATAATAATAATATCTTAGGATTATGTGAAGTGATCTGAAAGGAAGCCAAAAATGCAAAAATATACAGGATAAGACCCTGTAGAGGTAGAAAAAAAAGAGTATTGTTTTTCGAAGTATTCTCTCTGAAGAGAAATATATTTTTGTATCTGTTGGAACTGATTCTGAAAGCTGTTCATCCACTCGCTTGTTGCTACTATTAAAAAAAAATCATCCCAATTCACTCACACTTCTTTGAGCCATCCTATAGAAGTTATAACATTTTCCTGATATACATCCTCGTACTTACTTTATAACTATTTTTAGTACATTTTCTGATGATTAATTAAAAGATGTAGGTCAATCTGCCTGGATAACGAATGTATTTCTGTCATTCTTTCACCCTCTACCTACCACCCTTTCACTTATTATCTGTTCGGATGTTAATAACGAAGTGGTCGCGATAAGGGCCCGCCATCCAGTTCGGAACGTTCGAAATTGCAAATGTTTAATCTCTTTATCGTTCCAATTATAATTATTAATCATTCGGCGCCACTGACTCGCTTTTCGGCCATTGTTCTTCCAAGCACGCCGATAAAACGCCACGGCAAATTTCATTTAACGATAAAATGATGAATCGCCCGAATTTCCCTCCATATAGCGAGAAAAATGTGTATGTATACCTATGCAATTTTTCTTTAACGAAACCGCTAATTTTTTTCTGACTATACCAGATAGGTATTCTATTTGTACTTGTAATTTTATGGTTCTTAATCAGTGAGATTTTTGGGTTGGGCTGTGCTGAGGTATATGTTAAAAGAAACCACTCCTTCAACTCCTCTGCAATGGTTCGAGACAAATGCCAGTAATTCCAGTTACCAAGAATCTCTGAATCCTGAACTAATAATATTACAACGCCGATATGCTTCAGAATGGTTATTCTGAAAAATCCCTCGACAATATTATATCCAATTGTAAGTCTGACTCATTGGTGCGCTAGCCTGAGGAGGATGCTCCCTATCTCTTGACTATTCCCTACGTGAAAGGAACGTTGGAGAAGGTTAGGCAAATAGCCAAACAGTACAAAAATAACACTGTTTTTAAGTGTGGGGCTACTTTTTAGAAGTGTTCTAACAAAAACAAAACCGGAATCATGCCAAGAGAAAGAGTGCATCATAAGAAAGAGACAAACATAAAAAAAAATACGCAAAGAGGTGAAACAATGAAGTCGGGTATTGGAGATCATGTGTGGTCCAAACACCACAACATAAAATGGTCGGAAGCCCGGATTGTCATCACAGAGCACCATTGGAAAAACCGCAAATTTAAAGAGGCCGTATTCACATCTAGCAATAATGAAATCTTTAGCAATCCAAGTAGGTATAGAAATTTCAACAATATGAACAAACCCTCCAATGCAATTATACAAAGAGAGGTATTCTGTTCTTGTACCTTTATGGTTTTTGATCTCTGAGATTTCTGAGGTTAGGCTATATTCAGGTATATCTGAAAAGAAAAATTCCACTCCAGTGTAAGAATGTACAGTCCCACATAGTCAGAATGTATAACTTTGGGAAATCTGGATCTGTAAAAGTAAGAAAAGGAACTGGTAGAGGAAAACGTTTGCTTAGCAGTTAAAATATCATATAATGTGGTATACTGATGCTTCCAAAACTAAAGCAGGAACAGATATCCAAAGATGCGTACAACTTATCTTAGATAGGAACTATCGGAAACAAGAAATAGCCATCTTATACCATAGCCAAGCAGCCTTAAGAGCGAGCCACTCAGTAACCAACAATTCGAAGTTGGTCAAAGAATGACTAGAAAAGCTTAACAAATTAGGCAAAGAAAATAAAGTTCTCTTACTTTGGGTCCCAGTCTGCTAAAGAATAGAAGGTACCGAATGAAAAAGTAAACGAGTTAAAAAAGGAGCGAACACTCCACCAAAATCGTTCTGCTTTCCAAGTCGAAACAAACTTAAAGCGGAACTCAATCCATCGGAAGCGGAAGACTCCATCCATCTCGAAGAAATTTTCCACGATTTACGACCGAGAAAAAAATAAAGATTTTCCTTGATTTAGGTAAAAACAATCATCGGATTGTCATGGGATTTTAAAAGGACACTGTCTCGCCAATGAACAACTCAGTAGATTCAAGTAAGTAACGAATAACGGTGGAAAAAATGGGAAACACCAGAATACCTCATCACCGAGTTGGTACGATTGTATGATGGGTTATAATTCATAAAAGACACAATAGATCTATAAGTTTGCGGTGGTTAACTTCCCATACAATCTACAATATTGGCGTATATCGCCACTGAAAGAGATTAACAAAATATAAAATAGACACTACAAGCTTCAGCCGAAGAGACGTCGCCATCGTGTAGCCGGATATAATTGATAGACGTTAAGAAAACTAGAAAATATTCATACATATAGATGTGCAGTTAAATTATCCGCAACAAGATAGATGGCAAATTAAGTCAAATCCAATTCAGATTACGACAGTCAACTTTTCAAGTCAGAAAAGATAGTTACCATGTCTATTTGATGTATTTAGGTTTCTTTAGGAAATGAAGTATATTACAAATTTTTGTAAATAAAACTCCGAAAGTGAATATCTTATCTATACAAACAGCATATTACAATATATATATATATAGGTCCAATGGTCCAATGTTTCGACATTACAAATTTTATTTAAATCAAAAAAAAATTAAATAGATTTTTTGATTTGATTCATTGATGATGGGGTTTCGTAGTGCACTAAACGTCGTCGAAATATGAAAAGATGGGACTCGCTTCACAGTCTGTCCATTTAATCAAAAAATACCTAGCTTTTCCTGTTAGCATAAAATTCTCTAGAAAATAATGTTAAAAGCCGAATCTTCTGTCGATCGACTGATTTTCTTTCTTAAAAACTTTTTTTCACAAAGAATCGAATGGAATACATAAAAGAACCCAGTGTCTAAAAGCATACAAATTGTCGCAAGTTGTAATTTGGAGGCCGGGTTTATCGGCAGAACGTTGAAAAAGAACAGGAAAAGGGGAAAAAGAAAAGATAACGCTACGCGAAGCAGAATCTAAAAGATTTCGAATTTTCTCAATAGGCAAGGAAGAAAATGAAAACTGATGTTGATTAATTTGAAAAAAGGTGATAATGTGGAATAAGAAGATTGCACGAACGACATTCTGAATATAAAACCTTTCTAATTAATGAGAAAATTTTACAAATGGATAATGAGTTTCTCTCATCTTCTCTTTCTTGCTCTCTGCGTCTACCTTTTCTGGAGAATTTAAATAAATTTGATATCAAGCTTTTTCGGAATAAATCGTACTTTTCTTTCTTGCTTTCCATCTCTGGCTCTTTGAGACTAAATTAAATCAAAGCAATAAGAAAAAGGAATAAAAATGCCATCTTTCTTTCAGATAGAAAAATAAACAAATTTGTCTCTTGGATTGTATTGGTGTGAGTTCTTATTCGGTGTATTTACGAATTGAAAATCGAGATGAATAATGTTTTTCATTACAGAAAAGTGTCTCATATTTATATTATTTTTCAATTAATGATTTAGGTTATAGAGTAAATCACCATCATCATCGTTTAGCTTATTCTGTGCACTACTGAACAAACTCCCTCAACTCAAGCCATTTCTTTCTATTTTGTACCACTTGGATCCAGTTTCCAGCCACTCTCTTAATATCATCTGTCCATCGACTAGGAGGAGTAGGAGGCCGTCCTCTGCTTCTATAGACCTCGTGTCTCCATTCCACTCTTTGTCCACCGTCAATCTGTTATCCTAGATCCATGTCCTGGCCAATTCCATTAAGGATGTAAGACAGATATAACTGTTCGTTTTGTATGGTATGTTGGGTATTTTATCCCTAAGTGTAACTCCCAACATGGACCTTTCCATTTTCCGTTACATGACCTGTATTCTATTACTTTTTATTTGTAAATTTCGTGTCTCTGATTAGAGTAACATAGATTTTTATAATTCACAGTAAAGTAAAAAAGCGGAAGAAATTAAAAATAAAGACAACAAGAACAAAATGGAAGAAGGTCGTTAATAAATAAATGGAGTTCAATGTAATTGTTGCCTTCGTTTATAGTGTTTACGAATAGTTACACTATAAGAACTGCTTAATAATAAAAAATATAATTTCAAAATTATTAAGTATATTATATTGAAATAGTAACGTACGTAAATTAAACATTAATTTTTATATTATCAAGGACTCGATTTATAACATTCAAACCTTCAATCATAGCGTTCAGTCTGTTGATTCGTTCTTCGATCCATGGCTTACGCTTCGATTTGAACTTTCTGCTCATATCCTCCCCATTTCTAGCAAGATCCTCGCATATACTAGCGATCTTTTCTATTTTTCGATCATCGACAAACTTTACAGTTTCCTCTTCCTCACATTTGAAGAACAGTTCTTTTTCGTCCGTATCTTTTCTAAACAACTGCCATATCTACGCAAAAAAATCTATATATTGAATGCTGCAACTAAAAAAATCGATAAGGATTCCACAATCTCATCTTTTTTGTTTACTATTATAGTGCTAATAATAAATTACAACAATTATGAGGTAATCCTAAAGATAAAACACCTCCACTGGAAAGGTCGGGTGTTTAGGAAATTTTATGTAGAGACTGTAATCAGAAATATGTTGAGCAAACTAGAAGATCAATATTAAGGTTCAGGTAATTTTGATAAAAAAATAAAATTGATAAAGAACTCGTACTAATTCACGTATAGATATTAATAATTTAAAATTAATTAAACAAGTCTCAAATTACCGGCAATTAGATCCATATGAGACCGTCAAAATTAACAAATATAAAGATAATATGAACAGAGACAATGATCCAGTACCATCCTCTGTTCTTACTGCTCTAGTTTCGGTAATTAATTGTTACGCTCGTTGGTTTTAACTCGCTTCGCTAGATTTAGCACGTCTACTCGGCGCCAACTGAGCGCCTATAACGCTCAAATTGTAGATATTAGTTTAGTTTTAATCATCTGCTGATGATACTAACTTGATTAGTGAAACGCGCGTTCAGTGCAAAAGTAAAAGTGTTTTGGTTTATTGTGGTGAATTAGTGTTTTATTTTGCTGTTCTAATACCAAGGTTATGTACTATTATTATGGTGCTACTATGATCATAAGAATGGCAGCAATAAAAATAGAAATAAACAATCAAATCTACTCTAATCTAAATCGAAAAAAAATAGCGTCGCAGAAGCCGCTGTATAAGGAAATAAATATTGTTTTTTAGAGCTTGTCCTATTTATCTATTTTATATTTACCACTTCTGAAATAAGCTCATAATCTTCTTCAGTCATAGTCCTAGATTTTTCTTCGTTTCTTAAAACGCATTTTGATATCAAAGCCATAGCTTTCATTCTATTTTTCGCCACTATACATAAGTCGTTGTAGCGATCTACTGATATTGACTGAATAAGATTTTCTGGAATATCTACAATATAATTTCCAAAAATACATTTAATTCAAATTATTTAAATAATGGCCAAAGCAAGAGTGATGATATATAAAATAATCCCAAAGTTCCCAACTGCAATCCCCGAAGTTTGTTTACAGCAACACTAGAAGAAATCTGCCATCAACTGGACTGGACCAACACCGGATTAAAAATAGAAGAAGAAAAATATCTAAGACTCGATAATTGCTAATAGTCCTGAAGGACTACAAGCACAAATTAACGAACTAAATACAGCCAGCAATGAAGTACGTTTCAAAATGAATTTAGCAAAAACCAAAGTAATGTATATTGAACTAGTAAACAGAAAAGACATTCTAATAACTAATACACAGCTCGGAATCTCTACTACCAGAAATCAACAAAAGAATTAAGATATCATGGAGTACTTATGGAACAAATTCAATCATATTGAAATCTAGAACGTCACTTTATCTAAAGAAGAAAACATTTGACCAATGTGTACTACCAGTCATGACCTATTATGCATGAGAAACCTGGACAATTAAAACGGCCGTTATAAAAAAAAAACTTCAGGTCGCACAATACTCGGTGGAACGAAATATGCTGGGAATAACCAAGAAACACCGTAAAAGAATAGAGGGATACAACAAAAGATCCAGGTAATAGATGTCATCCACAGAATCAAATCCTTTAAGTAGCTTCATTAATCTTAATATGTGAGGGAGATGACGATGATGATAAGAAAAATGATGATGATGATGATATTTTATTTATTATTGCTCACAGCTAAAATAGTTATTTTCACCTCTTCAAATAAAAGTCATATGTCCATAATTATTATCGAAATGGCGTATTGAAATGGGAACAACAGAAATGCGAACACTTTAATCAATTACAAGACATACCTTATATGAGTGGAAATACAGGATGTAGTAAGATTGACAAGAAACAGGAGAAAAGAGTGGAGAGGCCATGTGGACAGAATACCAGACGATCGGTTAGCAAAAATTGCTAAGGAGAAATTACCTAACATGCCTCGATCGCCTGGACGACCACCTAGAGGATGGTATGAAAGCTGGTCTTCATCATCCCAACTGTTCTTGGGGAACCACTACGAAGAAGAAGAATAATCGAAATGTGATAAAAATAGAGAAATGTAGGTAGCAGAAAACGGAAGCTATATTTGGATTCAGAACGTCATTTTACATAAGAATCAGCAGGAATTGTAACAGGGCTAGAGAAAAAAATATTTTTTGCAAACCAGTGTAATCAATTAAAAACTCAATTTTACAAGCTTGTTATAAAAATATACTATACCTTGTCCTCCTCTGAGTTGAGTCAAGCGCACCTTCAACAAAGTCGTGTAATAAATCCATTTGTTTTTCAGGTACTCTTGTACCATTCCCTTTTCGTTGCAGTAAAATGTCTTAGCTTGAGAATAATAGTAGGTGATGATGACGATGTAGACATTGATGAAATATATGGACAGCAAAGCGAATAGAACGAAAAAGGCTGAACCCAATTTATGTTGCTCGAACGGGTGCATAGGAAAATCGTCGATTAGGTTCATGCTGAGCAGCAACAATGTGGTCATACTCTTGTAAAAGTTGCGGAAATACTAAAACGTATTTGAGGAGCAGACTTACTAAATGTATTTTGTTCAATTATTAAGATTTTCAACCAAAGGTGGCATTGCTAACTACATCAATATTAGGTCAGATGGGACGTTCTAAATTCATTTTATCCTATTCGAATTAAATGGCGAAAATACCTTAGACTTTCTGTGTGTTGTATGTCCATTGGTGGTAGACAAACAAACAGAAGTATGTCCTTTTGTGAAGATACTGCTGTTCGTTTGTCATTGCCAGATGAGGAGTGCTGTTTTTTGTAATGCAATTTCTCTATTTTTTCAATAATACTACTTAAAATAGTGAATGGAACTACAACTGGGGACCATGTAGTTGGAGATAAGTTCAGATATCATCAAAACTATATTTTTCAAATGTAGGTGTACTATTTTTATGAATTCTTATCCATTTTTAAGTATACTAGCTTTTACGTAAGTTTCTTGCAAAAAGCGTAGCAGGTTATCGTTATTTGCCAAAATTCGAAAAAATGGATAAAATGCATCTAGAAAGTCTGCTCCTCCTGAAAGTGTCATGGATGATGCGGTAGGTTCATTTTTAAAAACGGGAAATCTAAGAAACTTACTTCTGATTCCGATCCAAAGAACGACGTAGCTATTACGGATAAAGCTACCATAAAAGTTGAGTGATATAGTAGAGCCGCCAATAGTGGTCCTGACGAATGGTACAATGTTTTTTCCATTACCTTAACTATTTTCATAAATCTACAACAGAAATTGGGAAGCGTTAAAAAACTTATAACATTTTATTTGTTTTATAATGTTGTACTTGAAAACCCTTATAGATCTTTTAAGTGAATATTCAATTTTTGTTTTACCTTAATAATTTCCACAGTCTAAAGGTAGCTAAAAACACTAGGCTGGCACTAAGTGCTGTAAAAGTGTTGTCTGCCACAAATAAATGAAAATAATTGACAAACTCGTTGTTCTTCGATTCCGACAGTTTTGTCAGATAAATGTTTAACTGTGCTATCCGATTGATGAATAAATATATCGAGGCCATACTTAAGAGAACTGAAAATAAAAAGATAATTTATATTTTATATCACATCGAGCATCACATCAATTAACCGAGTTTTTTTTTAATGTTAATATTTAATAAAAACGGACAAGTGCGAGTACAATTTGTAGGTCATCATCGTCATCATTTTCAGCTTATTGGACCATTTCCAATTATGGTGTAGCCTCTTTCGTATATTTAGATATTCTATTTGTAGTTGGGCCCATTGTTGTCTATTATTTTAGACTATGTGGGCCCAAGTTATTCTTGCTAATTTCCTAACATCATGGCCCCAATTACAAGTTTGGTCTTTTTCTAAGTCTCTAATTTTAAATTCTTCTTCTAATTCCTTGTCGGTACCATACTGTAATTTTTGTGGTCCATCTGTTGTCCGTTCTTGCCAGGTGTCAAACAAAACCCATTGCCACTTGAGGGATTTGATTCTGTGGATGGCATCTATTACCTGGGTCTTTTGTCGTATCCACTCTATTCCTTTACAGTCTTTCTTGGGTATTCCCAGCCTATTTCGTTTCATTGAGCATTGTGTGACCTGCAGTTTCCTTATAATATCCGTTTTAAGTGTTCAGGTTTCGCATGCATAGTTCATGATTGGTAGTACACATTGGTCGAATGTTTTCTTCTTTAGACAAATTTGCATTCTAGATGATTGGGCTCCAGGACTATTGGCAATTAGGACTATGTCATCAACGAATCTTAGATGATTAAGATATTCTTCATATATTCTTAATTCATTTTTCGTCCAGTCCAGTCGGCAAAAGTTTTCTTCTGTGTTGCTGTAAACAATTTTGGGGATATCGCGTCTCCCTATCGTACTTCTTTGCCTTTTTGAGCAACAGAATAGACAGAGCAGAACACTACACTACACACACACACTACTAGTAAAGTTGTTATTCATGATGATTCAATTAACAAATTATGTTTTTAGTTATATAATCTCCAAAAGTACTTTCCAAAAATAGTAACCCTCTCTTACAAAAGTAGTTTAATTTTTAATGTTACTAATAAAATGAGAATGAATACGAACCTATGATCACATCAAAGACCTCCAAGGCATCTGAAAAGAATTTTTTACCTTTCTTGATCATCTTATAAGTCACTCGGACCGTAAGCAGAAGGAGAACCAAACCGAAACACACAAATACAACTTGGGGGCCTCTAAAATCGCTCTCAACAACAAGTAACCTTCTTGTTTGAATCTGAAAATATATAGTCTTTCTAAGGAAATATAGACACGATATAGGAATGGTTGCAGGCACAGAAACGGGAAATTAGGCTTTACAGGTCGCAGTGTTTCCGGCACAGGATGGTATCTTATTATTGAAAAAAAAGAACATTCCTCGTAACATTCAGTTAAAATAATTCGAAAATACAAGCATGTTACTAAAGAAGAGTCAAAAATTAACAAATATAAAACATGCCTGTTATTAATCTTATTAAAAAAATCTTAATCTTATTAAAAAAACTACTTTGAAATGGAATTGGGCAGCGCACATTAAATTAAATAATAGAATGGAGTCCGAGACAAGATGCATTCAGTAGCAGAGGCCGTCCTCCAACCAGATGGCATGACGACTTAGGCGTATCCACAGTAACTGGATGTAAATAGCTCAAGATATGGAGTTATGAAAGCAAACGAGGGAGGCCTACGTCCAGCAGTGGACTTTAGTGGCTGGTTGATGGCGATGATTATTAATCTACATATTTATGACAAATTAAAAAATATATACTTTTTATCGTATAGTTTTAATTAGAGTGTAATTTTGACAAAAGGCACTTTGTATATTATTTCTTACCTCAAATCTGTGAGTGACGTAGCCAGATGCTCCAATTTCAAAAACAACCTGTACAGTATTGAATAAGTTACAGTTAGGATTGTAAGTGAGAAATTCTATGAAGACGGCTCTGGTTTTCAGATCTAGCCATTTATATTTCTTTAAATAAAACATATTTATGTGGGAATTTACTACTGTTCGTCCCAAAGGAGCTACGTAACCTCCTCCGGGATATAGAGCCAAGTCACCTTAAAATAATAAAATCATGATTAAACACATATAGGTATACTGTTTATAAAAACCACGTATTTGTATGGGCAACGGCCCGCTACGTCGAAACACCGATTCCCATTAGAACACCGAAGTTAAGCGACGTAAGGCGATACTAGTGGATGTACGGGTGACCGGTTCGAAACTCTCTATCGTGCTATTGTCCAATAAAAGCAAAAGTGTAAAATCTATTGACACACGCCGGTTCGAGGCCGGATGAGATCGGATATCTCGTGAGTAAGAGTCGATTTAGACACTTGCCAAGTCAATAGGCCATTGACCGTGATATGGCCCAGGACCGCGGTTCGGATTTCGCGTAATCAAAGTAGGCTCCGTCCAGATTAGCCCTGGCAGCAAGAAGGAGACGTTAACTTGAAATCTTTACTTTACTTTTACGTATTTTTATATAGAAAAATAATTCCAACGTTAGTTGGATTTGTTTGGCCATAAGTAGTATAGGTAGTAAGTATAATTTTTTTATACTGCCTCTATTTTATTTCATGGTTGTTACCTATAATGAAAGTAGAGGGAATTATGGCTAAGAAATAAAATATGATTATAACTTACCAACGTATGTTGATGTTCCTGTTACTCCAGATGAAGAATAGTCCCATGTATGCGCCATTCTCTCATTGCTATCTGTGTGGATTGGTTTTAAAGTTTCCCAATTTCTAAAAAAATCTCCGAATTCTTTCTCCCGATCAAACGGTGGCCGGCACGTAATATTTAAAAATCTTAACTGCTCAGGAATGCGACATCTTGCGGTCTTCGTACGATGTTGCCTTAGGCGCATAATACCTGAAAATAAATTTTATTTAACCTTCCAATACTCGCGCGAGGTATTTTGATACCCCATACGGATGTTTTGCTTAGATACCTTGGTGAGGAAATGTCAAAATTAAATGACGCTTTATGTAAGTATTCTTTGACCGTAGTTCAAATCGTCTACGTTTAAGAAATGTTATTTACAAAATTGTTACAATTACTGTAACGATTTTGCAATTTTGCAAACGAAAGAAATGCCGACCACATATACCAGAGCATACGAGGCTTTGGGCCTTAAGCTGGATATCGATAAAACTAAAATAATGTGCACTCTCCCAGAAAATCATAACAATACTATAAAAATCGGAGAAGAACTATTGGAATATGTGGCGGAATTCAATTACCTCGGCAGTTGATTTCGGAAAAGGCCAATATCGACTCTGAAATTCAGCACAGAATCAGCAGCGCCTCAAGAGCATTCTGGAAATTAAAAGACAGGGTTTTCTACAATCATGACTTGAGCACAAAAACGAAACTTGCAGTGTACCGAGTCATAATAATCCCCACCATTTTATATGGAAGTGAAACCTGGGTGCCGTACCGTCGGCAAACGACCGCATTAAACAAGTTGCATCAGAGACACCATAGACAGCTGTTAAGAATCAAATGGAACCGCCATAACTCAAACGTATTGGTCCTTGAAAAAGCTGGCTGCGAGAGCGCTGAAGTCATGATTACTAAATCCCGCGTAAGATGGGCTGGTCACGTATGCAGGATGCAAGAAAACCGCTTACCAAAATATCTTCTTTACGGTGAGCTTGTAGACGGTAAGAGGACACCGGGTGGATAAGATACAAGGATATTTTCGAGGGAAAGCAGCACACAATAGAACAATGGAGAAGAATTGTAAACTTAGTTAACATCGACAACCAAAAAGTAAAGAGGCAACAAAGTAATAAGTTTTTTGAATGTCTGGAGTGCGGAAGAGAGATAACATCACGTCACAGAAAAGCTAGTAAAGGAAAACGCCTTGCGTAACCATCTTCTGATGCGTGTCAAATACTCGTCAGCAAGTAATGGCTGTAAGTAAGTAAGTAAGGGTTAATAGTTCTCAATTTCATACCCAGATATTTATTATGAAAATCCCTGGTCATCCCTGGATCGATTTGCAGATATCTTCCATACCATAGATACGATTGGAACGATGGTATTAATATTTCTTTAATATACTTAAAAATGCTGAAAAATATTTTATTTTAAACTTGTGCAAAAATAAAAGTACTTTTACTAACTCTTGATACACTTCGACCTCCATTTCTTTACCCAAATACTTCCCAGAAACCAGTCTCTGTATTTCCGTGTGACTGTACACCTCCATTGAGTTTTTGTCTAACAACAATACCAGATAGAGAAAAAATACGTAAGAAGATATCATGAAAAGATCTTCCAGTAATTGAACGATACTTTTCTTCGACGTTTCCCATTTCTTTTTTTCCTGAAATACAAATATTGTAGTGTATTTTGGAGTAGTTGATTCCGATTTTACTTACTTTCAATGTTAAGTTGTCCAGTGAACTGTAAAAATGTTGAAAATATGGTCTGAGAGCCATTGATCCAAACCTTTTATAAATAAAAAGTCTTTGCAGTTCTACAAACTCGATTATTCTTTTTTTAGTATTAGAAATATATTTCGCCTATAATAATTCATAATTTCATAATAATAATAATAACCCTACTGCAATCAAGTATGTAAAAATATGTTTTACTATACAGTACGAAATACACAAAAAATTCTATTCTCAGAGAAATAAGTCAACATTGAGGACGCATAATAACATCAAATAATTATGTTCTCACCAACTCAGGAAGCCTGATAAAGATGCTCAGGAAAATTGTTGTTACATTTTGGAAAATTAAACCAGTCATAAGTGTCCCAATTAGTATGGACACCAAACAAAGCATGCTGGTATTATGAGGTATCCAAAATCCACAAATAATCATAAGTGTAATTGAAATGATTATTGGAATTATTAATAGGATCCTAAAATTATATAAATATTAGCAAGGAAATAAATTAGAAACCCTTAAACCTGATTCAAAGTTTTATTTATAGTTAAAGTTTCATTCAGAACCTCGCAATTAGTGGTATAAATTAGTGGTTTCAATTATTACACTTCATACTTTTTAGTTTACGATCATTCACAATGTTTAAAAAACATAATTAAAATTAATAGAATATCCTAGCAACAGCTTGCAGTTGTGTCCATAGAGAAAGCCTAATATATAAGTTGATAAGTTTTTCTACTAATTGAAAATGTCTACCGCTAATTTTGACGTTCTGAAGGCTTACATTAAAATTAAAGGAACAAACTTCTACGCTAATTGAAACCACTAATTTATTTCACTAACTGCGAGGTTCTGAATGAAGGTTTATTATACCAACAAATTTCTAAAATCCTCTTGAAAAATCTAATTCTGGTTTTGAATTTAAGTTTTGCCATTTCAAGTAAATATATTAATGGGCAATAATATAAAAATGCTATCGCACTGGCAATAAAAGGTATCCATATTAGCTTGAGGCTGAAACTGAATTCGTTCTCTTCTATGCTGTCGCTTTCGTCAAACTTTGGAACATTGTACATAAACATGACGAGAACAGAGATGACCATTATATTAGAGAAAATTATTGACAGTCTTTCTTTCAGCATGAAAAATGGATGCTCCAAGCTAGAAAAAAATTATTTTTACATGTTTTCTTTATATTAACAATGAGCCAACTGTCATTAAACTAGAAAGATTGAATCTTAAATAAAATCAACAATCTCTTACTATTGTGGGTAAAGTGGAAACCAACTTAAAGTGGAACTCAAGAACCGGGAAGACTCCATCTGTAACCTTGGGAATCCTCCAACGGTCTAAGACACTCGAGGAAATTTTTCAGAACTTAAGATCGAGAAAAATCAAAGATTTTCTTTGATTTAAGTAAAGAAGAATCTACGGATTGTCACGGGGTTTTGAATAGGATACTGTCTCCTTAATGAATGCCTCCTAGATTGAAGCAACAAGAACACAAGAGCGAATGCAGATTCTGTGGGGGAAAATGGGGAAACACCAGCACACCTCATCACTGAGTGCGCCGAGACGACAACCACTCGAGCCATAAACTTTGGTACGACTGATATCGAAGATGGAGAATTAACCTCTTTAAAACCGTCTCAGATAAAAGCCCTGAGACTGTATGATGAGTTATAAGTCAAGAAAGAGGACACAATAGATCTGTAAAGTTGCGGTGATAACCCCCCAAGTAGCATTTTCACGACTTGCGACCACATGTTTACTAAACACAACGTTGGATTAGTTACAAAAAATAGTTAGCTCCCTACCTTGGGTATTAAAATAAATTTAAACGTTTTTATAACGTTGTGCCGACGTTGGACTAGTACTACAGCAAAGTAGAAGCTTCTGCGACGTCGAATAAACGTTGTCTTGTAACCTTTTTTGCTTAAGTGATCTTTAGGTGATTTGGACAACGTAGTTACAACGTTGGATAATATAGAGTTTTCCGACGTCAGTTTCAGGACCTATTCCAACGTTATGCAAACGTCGTCTGTTTTACTAATTCCAACGTTGTTTAGATTTCCTTATTCTTACGTTGGTAGGACGTAGAGTCACTACCTTTTTGCAACTGTATTGAACCATAACCTTAAATCTTAAATTTTCAATTCATTGTTCTGTTCAGTCAGACAGTTCAGTGCTGTTTTTGTTTTTATAAAAAAAAAACTTAATTAAAATGGGACATAAGAAAGGTACATATAAAACTAAATTTAAATATACATCGACATATATTACCGACACTTCCTCGTTTATTTAGATTATAGAGGGCGGCACAAGCTAGACTCTAGAATGACTAAATTAGGCAATCTTGCGACTAGTATACTACCTGTTAAGGCCGAACTGCGACTTTATTAGTCCAGTATGCGACTACTCGAACTACTCCATCTTAATCTCCAAAACAACAAAGTTAAAGCCGCCATGTTGTTAAATAAGAAAATGTTTCGTTCTTAAAATAGCAATTCCTGCTTTTTGAATACATTAACTTGAAATATTTGACCCTAAAAAATACGCGGAAACAATTTTTTCGAATGCGAATAAATTATTCTCATTTTACTAAAAAAAAAATTCAAGAAAATTTTTAAAACTTCTTTAATTTCAAGGCCCATTAGTATTTTTTAAAGTAGAAACAATACATTTATCAATAAAGTTGTTTGCGTTTAACTTTTTACCTTGGGTAACGAGTTACAGAGTCGGTTAAAGTGTTTCAATAATTATGATCTTCAAACATCCTCCACACTTAAATACTTTTGTTTTGTTTTCCTTCACTGCCATCTGACATATGTCTCTAACTAAATTATAAATATAATATTTTTACTATAATTATCCCAATTTAGGATAAAACGCGACTTAGACGCCATATTAGTTTTGTATTTCTGTGAATTAGGATTTTAAACAACGTTGCAGTTTGTACTAAATTAGGCTTCTAGCCAACGTCGGTATCCAACGTCGTTTCGACCCAAAAATTATTCTCCAAACTAGTGCAGACTAGGGTTGGCACGAGGTTGTGCCGACGTTGCGCCCCGACGTTTGGTCGCGTGACACAACGTTGTCCCGACGTCCAAATGCTGCTTGGGCCTCCTCCTATACATTCTACTATTTTGGATATGCTAAAACTGAAATTAGAGATATTTTTTAAATAATAGTTTGAGAGATAAGTTCATTTGTCCAACAAGCAAAAAGTAAAAACTTACAGCGTATTTATATATTTGCCTTTGAGTTGTGCACTTGTCCCCTTTGATTTTTAGGTTATTATGTGTGATATTATTGTATATGTGAACCGATGAATGAATCATCCACCGTTTTAACCTTTTTCAACCTCAATTTTTTTCAACCTTTCTAATATAACAACACTAGACAAATATCAATGTTACAGTACCTTAAGTTCCATACATTTACATTATCGTTGACACTTTTTACAAGATTTCCAATGGCTCTAATCATTTTATCTTTATTGTCAGCATCCTTTTCCAAATCTGTCGTACTTGCGCAATCTTTTATATCAAATACATGAAAATCCTGATTGCTTTCCATAACGTTAAACCATCTATTTATTTTAAAGTGAAATAATTTTTCTCCTTGCACATCGTAAATATCAATTTTTGAGCAGTACCTAAAATTAAAATTTCAAAATTTCAATACGGTAAAAAATTACCTACGATGAAATAACAAGATTTACCATCTTGTATTATTTCCTATTGAATCAAACCAAACGGTTACTTTTTCTATATCACCTAAAGATTTATCAGTGGCTATAACAAACCATGTGTCTTGACTTCGCTGTAACATCATCAATTCTGGATCTGGATAATTTAAAACATGTTCCTATGTAGAATAGCAAAATAAATGCATTTGATTAGAGAGTTTACTGGATAGTACTGTCTGATAAATTTCCTTACAAAACTTTCTGATTTCGTTCCATGAAGCTTCATGGTGATATTTGATGTTGTACCTGAATGTCTTCTTCTTCCGGTCGTTACGACGATAATGTAAGCAAATTTGAAAAAATTAGGAACATCTCCAACGAAATAAACTTTTTTAAGTATCTACAAATTACAGAACAAAATTCAGTCGTTGCACTTAAGCATTCTTTATTCCAACTCAAGGAAACTCAAAACGGCCGAAAAATTGCACTAATCCAAATAGTTTTCTTTTAATTAAAAAATACACCTATTACAAGAGATATGGAGGTTGGGAAATTGAGCACAAATGTTGCTAGAAATTCTTAAGCTTGATTTTCATGAATCCGTTGTCCGACGATACGATGATACGATATTAATTTTATTGGTTGAATATAAAGGCTTCGATTGGTTAAGCGTTTCTAACCAATCGAAGTCTGTAGATTCAACCAATAAAATTAATATCGTATCATCGTATCGTCGGACAACGGATGCATGAAAATCAAGCTTTAGCCGTCATGATTAGAATTTCGCTTAGTCGGTGCTTAGGTCTACATGGTGATTCATGGCCATGGCACGATAGGCTTTTTAGGGTACCAGGATGTTTTTGATTGGATTTGGATTTTTACACTAAGACACCTGCTCCATCTGTCTAAATTATTTGCAGCGTTACAGGGTTGCCGCTTTATTATACAAATGGTAGCATTTTTGTTATTTTAAGTATTATCTTTATAAATCTCCGCCAGTTACTTACGTTAGGCTTCTCCTCAAACGAAGCAAAAAACAGGACAGCTAGGAAGAAGAAAAATATTGTCAAAATAGTAATAAATATAATCCAGCAGGTTTGAATTTCTAATTCAAATTCAATCTCGATATCTTCCACCAAATTGACTCTGTTGCTCGAAACGTACGGTGTAAGTATGGTTCCATTATGACACAAGCAGGTAAGGTTACCATTGTCTTCGTCAAATCCCTATAAATTGAAACACATAAAATACGTGTAATCATCTACAATCTACATCGTCTGCAATATGTGTAGACATAGTTTGACTTTTTATGAAATTTTAGTTTTTTAGAGATTAGTTTTTACCAAGCAACTATTGAAGACGTGCACTGAAGAAATTATCATAATAATAAATAAGGGTTTTTGTGATAAGAAATAACTAACATGACAGGCATATATCCAAAATTTAGTAGTTTTATTCCATCCAAAGCAAGCTGCAGTGGAAGCACTAAATTTGTAATTCGTTCCTGAAGCACTACTCTGAAATTTAATCAATTTAGTAACATAATCCTTTTAATTGTTGATATTCTATTACCATATTTTTGCTGGGTAATAATGTAAGGTAATACCATCTGTCATAATCAGGTGTTTCTCTATTCTTAACTTCTTTATCTGTTTGTGAGATGGTTAAATAGTGTTTCTTGAAAAAAGCGTAAGTTGGTTTCTCCATTTCAGTAAGAACGATCTTAAATAGAGAATTTTTTTTTAGAAATATATTATAGGTAAATTTGGCAACAAAATTGGTACAGAACTTACGTCATAATAGTGTTCAGATGGTATATCGGTAAACGTGATTTTAAATCCTCTATTTTTGAATAAATATATCCGATGGACAGATATCATATCGTAGAATGTTTCCTTGTTAAGTTCGGAAATTGATTTTGTGGGTAATTTGTCCTCTACTGATTGTATTAATTTCGCTGTGACAGTTTTGTCTCTTGCAAAAGATAAAATGAAAGGATCTGTAATAATTTTATATGTCACTTATTGATCGATACACTTTTTATTCAATGCATTTAATAAAACAAAGATGATGCGATACCCTCAGACAACATTTATTTTTATAAATTAATGTAACTTCTATTACGTATGTTATCATTGATGGTTTTGTTTGCTGCAAATAGTCACTATTTACCGTTGAAATCCGTAACTTTGCCGTCTGAACTATCGTCAATTACACTACGCTTCTCCGTGTACTTTTTCGGTTTATATTTCGATTTTTCAAACCGAACGTATACTACGGAGGATGAAAGGGTTATGTTGTCGATATACCAAAAAGGATTTTTGTCGGTTACACAAAGCTAAAAATAAAAATAAACAGGGTGTTATTAGGGCAATTCAAACCTACCCCCTCATAATACAAATATTTTTCGTATTTAGTCACGTCATATCATAGAGTTATTTTAACACTGAATTTTTATTTTCGATTTTACTGATAACCAGAGCTGCGATTTTGTAAGCTCGTAACATGAAATTTTTGCCAGTGAATCATTATTCTTATGATATTTTTAGGATGTATAATATAATTTTTATATCAACCAATCAAAATATTTCTAGAAATTTTTATTAATGTATATAAATTTAATGGTTTAAGTATAATTTTTTTAAAATTAATAATTTAAGAATTATCAACAGAAAATTTGATTTTTTATCATCAGTTAAAACGAAAATAATATTTGCTATGGGAAATGCAGAATTTTATCACAATATAAAATATATTTAACCAAAATCAACCCATTTAAACTATATCTGATAACAATAAAAATAAATAGCAAACCAAGACATGAGATTTTCTGTTATATCGACCATCTTCTGTTATGGACAGACGAGGCCGTTTCTGAACATTTCTCGCGGAATTCATTAACTCAGTGGGGGTGAAAGATACCCTCTCATAACTGCTAACTATTTCTAATTCTTGTCTAGATTATACGGAAGAATAAGAAACATTTATTCTTCCGCAAATATATCCATAGGATTAGATCCATGGGCACTAAGTCAGGTGGCCTCGACGGCCAACGGCTGGGATCTTGGTTAGCTATTCAATTATTCTTGAAATTGGCTGCAAAAATTTGCTGATAACTTCAGCGTTCTGAGGCGGCGTCTCTTCTTGCTGGAAAAATATGTTTTCGAGTTCCATTAAGGGCATATCATTAACAAGGGGTCCAAAGCCTACTAGTTAAAAGTGGTGAACTTTTAAAAATATAGAGGGTGTCCCAAATAAAAAAATCAATTTTTCTGTTGATAACTCTTAAATTATTAATTTTAAAAAAATTAAACTTATACCATTAAATTCTACGTAAAAAGGTGCTTTGGAAATGTTTTCATAGAAACGCAAAATTTTCCATAGCAAAAAAGTTACAGCGATTTGTTAAAAATGCACATTTTTGAATAACACCCCGTAACTCCTAAACGGTAACAGATATTGATGTGCGGTTTTCACCATCATGTTTTTGATGAAAATTCAGCTCCAGACACCGATATTAGTTTTCGTCTATCTGCTATAGGAAAGGGTGTATCCATTTAAAAGCGTCGAATTTGACCCACCATGTACAATTAAAATAAAAAAGCGCTAATTACCTTGGGAATGGTCGATAACATTCACATATCGTATTAAATATCATTCATCATTAATTTTTAGGTAACTTGACATCATCTTTTCCCGGTATTTATTTATCAACAAGCATATACAATATGATCGAAAAATTTCTGCCATTTTATATGCAAAATTATATAGGGAATGTCATCGATATTCATTTCCAAGCCAACTGGACGACGGTTTTTTTTCGGCCGTATGGTATTTTCTATGCAAAACATTGATGAGTATATCGATCAATATTTTGTCATCGTCACTACATTCAAAATTTGATTTACAAATCTATGACGCTATGATTCAGTACCTAACCAACAATTTCAATGTCAAAACAAGTAAATCAGATGATATTTTTGGCACACATAGTATGATTGTGGTATGATTGACTAAATATTTTCGCGAAGAAAGCCGGGTAAGTGTAAGACACTGGCAAGAAATTTCTTTGGACAGCTTACAAAATCGCAGTATAAGTAGGTATAAGTTAACTTACTAAAATATCAAATACAGAAATCTTCGCTTGTTTAGAAAAATCATTCGATGGACTCAGGAGCATTTTACCTATGCTGATATTGGTCTCTCGCATTACTTCACTGTACCTAAATAGTCAGCAAATTAAGATATAGCAACTTCTAAGTCTAACTCACAAAAGTACAAACTATGATGAAAGCATATTATAATTATAGAAACTAAATTCTAGGAAAAATATTTTTATATCACCAGACAATAATTTTAGATCAGCAATAGTTGCTTTGTAACCATTTTTGTAGTTGCTGATCCAGTATCGCGAAACGGTTGTAATCAAGTTAATAAGTTTTCTTTTGGGTTTAAAAGCAAGAAATTGTAAATTAACCCAAATTTTTAATCATACCTACGAACTGATACAATTGTCAAAGAACCTTCTTTACTAATAATAGGGTCTTCCTCGGGGACCATAGTTTTGCTAATTATTTTCGAACTGGAGAAACAAAGAGTCTCCAAAGTTTGTGCTGCTCTTCCAAACTAAAAGGCCATATTATAAGATATTCAGATTATGTCTCAGATTACTTATAAAATTGTTCACCTTTGAAATATTCTCTGAAGAATTAGTATCATCCCTGTAATCGGCGTAAGACTCTTCAATTTGTATTTTTTCTGTTACCATTTGTCCAGATGTATTTAAATCTACCGTTACGTCCACTGCTGCCGATATCACAGCTTCTAAGTTGTCATTTAAGGCTACTTGAGAACAAATCGCCATAGATCTGTAATGAATAAATAAATAAATTCTAAATATCAAAGAACATAAAGCTACCGAATGTAAGAAATGAGTCTGATCAGCATTTAGTAGCATTACTAAACAATTTTGTCTGGCAGTTTGTAAATATTTGTATTAATTAGGTTACTAATTTATTATTTAATATCAGAAGTATAAAAATTATGTATCACTGGAGAAATAAAGGTTATTATATTATTTATATATAGAAGTAAATGCATACTTCACTGTGGAGACCAGTTGTTCCTTTTCCAATTCTGGATTTGGCAATATTTTTGCAAGTTCTTTGTAAAAAGATCCAGCTTCTACACATAAGCTTGCGGCTCGAGCTGCTATATCTGGATCGGGTTTATCCTCATATTCCTTGGTTATTTTCGAGAGAAGATCCAGTGCTTGTCGGGCTGTTTCAGGTGAAGTTACTCAGTAAAAATTCTGTATTTCGAAGGGGAATATAACAAAATATCAAGTGTGCTATATTTTTGGAAAGGTAATTTTAAATTCTTTTCGGTTAATTAAAAATATAGAGGGTGTCCCAAATAAAAAATCAATTTTTCTGTTGATAACTCTTAAATTATTAATTTTAAAAAAATTATACTTATACCATTAAATTTTACATAAAAAGATACTTTGGAAATGTTTTCATAGAAACGCAAAATTTTCCATAGCAAAAAAGTTACAGCGATTTGTTAAAAATGCACATTTTTGAATAACACCCCGTAACTCCTAAACGGTAACAGATATTGATGTGCGGTTTTCACCATCATGTTTTTGAAGAAAATTGAGCTCCAGACACCGATATTAGTTTTCGTCTATCTGCTATAGGAAAGGGTGTTTCCATTTAAAAGCGTCGAATTTGACCCACTCTGTACAATCAAAATAAAAAAGCGCTAATTACCTTGGGAATGGTCGATAACATTCACATATCGTATAAAATATCACTCATCATTAATTTTAAGGTAACTTGACATCATCTTTTCCCGGTATTTATTTATCGACAAGCATATACAACATGATCGAAAAATAAAAGATTCCTGCCATTTTATATGCAAAATTATATAGGGAATGTCATCGATATTCATTTCCAAGCCAACTGGACGACGTTTTTTTCGGCCGTATGGTATTTTCTATGCAAAACATTGAATACTCATCAATCGATATTTTGTCATCGTCACTACACTCAAAATTTGATTTACAAATCTAAGACTCTATGATTCAATATCTAACTAACCATTTCAATGTCAAAACAAATAAACTAGATGATATTTTTGGCACACATAGTATGATTGTGGTATCATGGACTAAATATTTTCGCGAAGAAAGCCGGGTAAGTGTAAGTCACTAGCAAGAAATTTCTTTGGACAACTTACAAAATCGCAGTATAAGCAGGTATAAGTTAACTTACTAAAATATCAAATACCGAAGTCTTCGCTTGTTTAGAAAAATCATTCGATGGACTCAGGAGCATTTTACCTATGCTGATATTGGTCTCTCGCATTACTTCACTGTACCTAAATAGTCAGCAAATTAAGATACAGCAACTTATAAGTCTAACTCACAAAAGTACAAACTATGATGAAAGCATATAATAATTATAGACACTAAATTCTAAGAAAATATTTTTAGACAATCATTTTGTATTGTTTTATGACCGTTTTTGTAGTTGCTGATCCAGTAATCACGTTGATAAATTTTCTTTAGGATTTAAAAGCAAGAAATGTTAAATTGGCTAAAATTTTCAATCATACCTACCTGCGAACTGATACAATTGTCAAAGAACCTTCTTTACTAATGATGGGGTCTTCCTCGGGGACCATAGTTTTACTAATTATTTTTGAGCTGGAGAAACAAAGAGTTTCCAAAATTTGTGCTGCTCTTCCAAACTAAAAGGTCATGTTAGACTTTAAGATATTCAGATTATGACTCAGAGTATTTATAAAATTGTTCACCTTTGAAATATTCTCTGAAGAATTAGTATCATCCGTGTAATCGGCGTAAGACTCTTCAATTTGTATTTTTTCTGTTACCATTTGTCCAGATGTACTTAAATCTACTGTTACGTCCACTGCTGCCGATATCACAGCTTCTAAGTTGTCATTTAAGGCTACTTGAGAACAAATCGCCATAGATCTGTAATGAATAAATAAATAAATTCTAAATATCAAAGAACATAAAGCTACCGAATGTAAAAATGAGTCTGATCAGCATTTAGTAGCATTACTAAACATTTATGTCTGGCAGTTTGTAAATATTTGTATTAATTAGGTTACTAATATATTATTTAATATCAGAAGTATAAAAATTATGTATCACTTGAGAAATAAAGGTTATTATATTATTTAGAAGTAAATGCATACTTCACTGTGGAGACCAGTTGTTCCTTTTCCAATTCTGGATTTGGCAATATTTTTGCAAGTTCTTTGTAAAAAGATCCAGCTTCTACACATAAGCTTGCGGCTCGAGCTGCTATATCTGGATCGGGTTTATCCTCATATTCCTTGGTTATTTTCGAGAGAAGATCCAGTGCTTGTCGGGCTGTTTCAGGTGAAGTTACTCCTATCTACATATAATAGATACTTATTTCCTGGGCATCGGTCAATAAATAGAAGATTTTTTTCTTTCAAACACTAAAACTATTTACAATCTATATTTTCTTATGGTTATGTGTATACTACATAAATCAACAGAAGGATTAAGTTAGCATGGAGTACTAATGAAAAAAACCCAATCATATCCAAATCTAGAATGCCACTTTATCTAAAGAAGATAACATTCGACCAATGTGTACTATCAGTCATGATCTAGGCATGCGAAACCTAGACATCTAAAGCGGCCATTATAAGGAAACTGCAGATCGCACAACGCTCAATGGAACGAAATATGTTGGGAATAACCAAGAAAGACCGTAAAAGAATAGAGTGGATACGACAAAAGATTCAGGTAATAGATGTCATCCACTGAATCAAATCCCTCAAGTGACAATGAGCAGGACACCTGGCAAGAAGGACGGACGACAGATGGACCACAAAAATTACAGCATGGTACCCTCGAGGAATTAAGAGATCTAGAAGAAGACCAGAGCTGAGATGGGACCATGATATTAGAAAATTAGTAGGGATAACTTGGTCCCGCACAGCCCACAATCTACAATCCATATACATAATTATGAAGAAAAAAAAACAATAAACATTAAATTTATACCATTTCGAGAGCATCAAATGCTCTTTCATCCAGTTTCTTTTTAATTTCTTTATTAATTTTACTTAAATTCGAATATGAGTCCACGACTCCAGACAATTTTTGTATAGCCATTCCTTTCTTTCCACTTTTTGCGTCTCTTATAACGTCCTTGACTGCCTTACTGACGATTTTGTTGACTTCTTCGGCCGATTTTCCATCTAAGTGTAAATATTCTTCGACCTATACAATGAATTAAACAAGAATCTTATATTTTAGAAGTTTATCTTTAATAATAATCCGAATAATATCTACCTGGACAGTCAGTTTTTCTTCATGAGTGTATCCATACTCATCCATTAATTTTATTAAAACAGTAATTCGTCCAGGGGGCAAAGAAAACCTGGTTTCGTACAAGTGGTTTACTCTAGCTAAGAATGAACCTAACAAAAATATAATCTCAATAATCTCAACTTGTTGACACCTCTCAATAGTGATGAAAATGTTAAATAAATAATTTGCTGATGATATAGTTCTAATTGCCAATAGCCCTGAAGAACTTCAAGCACAAATTAACGAACTAAACACAGCCATTAAGGGATCAATTTTGTTCTACTCTCAAATAATGGTGATAGAAATGTTAGTTTTTTACTTACGTTTTTCTTTGTGAACTGTAAATATTTCGAAATGCTGATCTCCAATGGAATATAAACAGAAAACAGAAAATTTGGTTTGAAAAGATACACCACTTGGAGGGTCGATTGAGCAATCTTTTAATATTGGCGGCTGGCTTGTAGTTAATGTAAAACTTCTGGATAATTTCAGCTCACTTTCACCTTCATACAGATAAATATACATATTTATGTTATAATTATATAGAAGAATATTATATCATGACCGGCATGAAAACAGGCACATTAAACGCGTAGATTTACTTGAGCCTAAAATTTCCTTTTTTGTGCTGAAGTCATGATTGTAGAAACCCTGTCTTTTAATTGCCGGAATGCTCTTGAGGCACTGCTAATTCTGTGCTAAATTTCAGAATCGATATTGGCCTTTTCCGAAATCAAACTGCCAAGCTAATTGAATTCCGCTACATATTCCAATAGTTCTTCTCGGATTTTTATAGCATTGTTGTGATTTCCCGGGAGAGTGCGCATGATTTTAGTTTTATCGATATTCAACTTTAACCCAAAGTCTCGTATGCCCAGGTATACGTGTTCAGTATTTCTTGTAAATGCTCTAAAGATTTTGCAGCTAGAGCGAGTCATCAGCGTATTGAAGTTCTGTGATGAATTTTATAAGTGTTTTAGACGTATTAACAAACCGCCGTCGTATCTGCATCTAATGCCCATTTCTCTTTCCTGCAGTTTGCTGTCCACTATAATAGAGAGCGCTGCCATGCATATGTTGAATAGGAGAGCAGCTCCTGCCTAACTACTGTATTTGCTAGGAATGGATCGCTCAGTGATCCATGATATGACCCTCTTGATTTGTTGTTATGGAGGCTTTTAAAGTAACAACCAAAGAGATTTGCTAAAAATCTGACAGTCGAGTGGAGCACCGTTGTTGTTCGCGAACTTCTTGTTTCGCCGATTATTTCTTTCCGGCGTTGACTAGAGAATGCTCGTGTTACAAAGCGTTACATTACAACGCTCGGTTCAAGCCAATCTCCGCCTTAAGATGTCCCTTTCTGTTTGCCCGCCAGGGCATTTAATATACATTAGTTACATTACCTTCTAATTCGCAGGTTACGATATACGTTGTATCCTCTTGAAGGCTGTCTGACTGTAAATAAAATTCTCCACCGATTCGATTTTTTAACCTCTTGTAGTCTACTGATTCATCACCACCCTCTGTGAAAAATAAAATTTGTTAATTAAATATACCTTTCCTGTTTCACCAAGGAAAAGAAATATACAGATTGTTAACTGGACAGTTACTTATAGGGGAAAAGAATGGCAACACTGCCTATTGAGAACGCATGCACTTATAGGGTTTTCTGCCGACTCGTCCCGTCGCGTCGTCTATCGTCGGGCGGGCCGAGGTTGCCATATTTCAACTATAAAGCTCTTGCCGCGAGTAATAAACAAATTAACAACCTGTATAATAATAGTAACTCCCTTATATATGCTGGGTGCATTTCAGTTGATTTTAAAAATTTCGACCGCAGCGCTCAATACAGAAATTAGAAGTGCCCGACTAAAGTAAAGAAGTATTTCACGCAGTCCCATCACCGTTTATGTCGATCGCATTGAAATAATATTAAAATCGTGGTTTTGTGATTATCTTTAAGTATTTTAGTTTTTACTAGTGTAGTTATTGAATCTATAAAACACTCAGGTACGAGGTGGGAAAAAGAACACAAACTGTAACTGTGTAATTACGTGGTTGTTGAGTGCTATAACATTCAATAACTCAACTTTCCAATTATTCCAGATGATTTAAAGCATTTTCTGCACATTTCTTCTAGTTCTGTAACTTACATACTAGCGTTACAAGTTAATAAAAGGCTTGTAATAAGACTGGATACATACCATCCACTATAGTCCAGGATAAGTGTTTAGTGTCATCCAGTCCGCACTTTTCACACATTCCGTGTAAGATAACCGGTAACGAAGTGAGTGATTTTCTAGTTAAGGGAACACAATTTTTACGGCATCTGAAATAAGCAAATGAATCAAACGGGATGAAATACTTTGAATTAAAAGTTTGAGGAAGCGTAAATATACCACGTAAGATTTTGTATCACTCTGTATCTCTGAAACGAAGCATTTTAGGCTTAAAATTATACGAACTTTTTTACTTATTCTATCTGCCGAAGTTTTCCAAATCTAATTCAGACCACCCTGTATAAATAATATTAGACTCCTTCTTTAGTCGTTTTATTCAAAGATAAAAAATGTTGGTTGATCAAATACATAAAAAATAAATCAAGTTATTTGATTAGGGAGGGGGTAGTGTTGTTGTTTTATTTATATTATAACTAGTGTGTACCCGCGACTTCGTTCGCGTCGGATTAATCATTTGTAATGGTGATGATCAAGCAAAGCAAGAATTTCCATTAACATACAAACTAAGATAAAATTTTCTTACATTTATGTCAGCATGAGAAAAAACAATATGGCGATATTATTATATAACTTGGTATAATATTTGAGGGGTAGTTTCATCTTGTTGGAATTTGACTTTCGAAAAATCTGTTTGCCAAAAATAAGCTTTTTACGTCAAGTAGTTTAAGCAGAATCGTGGTTAATCAATTACCCCACTTTTTGGAACACCCTGTATGATTTTTTAAAAAATTTCAAAATATGTATAAAAACAAAATCAATTATGCGTGTCCAAGTGTTTTCCCGAAAGGCTCGCCGTATTTAAAAACAAATATTGTAATATTTGTGGGTCGTTTCACCCGCTTGGAATTTGAAATTCGAAAACCCCCTCTTTATCGAACCTCTACACCCCACAGTCAATCCGTTTGCCAAAAATCAGCTTTAAACGTCAAGCAGTTTAAGTAGAATCGTGATTACTCAATGGTTATATTTTATGAAACACCCTGTATAAATTTTTAAAAAACCTTAAAATATGTAAAACAACAAAATAAAATATACATGTTTAAGAGTTTTTCCGAAAAACTCACAGGATCGTGATTAATCAATGACCAATTAATCAATTTTTCGAAACACCCTGTAAACATTTTTAAAAAATCTTAAAATATGTAAAAAAAGAAAATAAAATATACGTGTTCAAGCGTTTTTTCGGAAACTTGACCGTTTTTTAAATAAAAATATTCTAATATTTGAGGGGCGGTTTCACCCCCTTAGAATTCGAGTTTCGAAAAATCCCTTCTTATCGAACCTCTACACCCTAAAGTCAATCCGTTTTCCAAAATCAGGTTTTACGTCAAGCTGCTTTAAGCAGGATCATTGATTAATCAATGACCAGATTTTTCAAGAAACACCCTGTATACATTTTTAAAAATCTTAAAATATGTAAAAAGAAAATAAAATATACGATGTTTAAGCGTTTTTTCGGAAACTTGACCGTTTTTAAATAAAAATATTCTAATATTTGAGGGGGCGGTTTCACCCCCTTAAATTCGAGTTTCGAAAATCCCTTCTTATCGAACCTCTACACCCTAAAAGTCAATCCGTTTTCCAAAATCAGCTTTTTACGTCAAGCGCTTTAAGCAGGATCGTGATTAATCAATGACCAGATTTTTCAAGAAACACCCTGTATACATTTTTAAAATCTGAAAATATGTAAAAAAAGAAAATAAAATATACGTGTTTCAGCGTTTTTCGGAAACTTGACCGTTTTTAAATAAAAAATATTGTAATATTCCACCCCCTTTTACCCCCCTTAGGGGATGAATTTTTAAAAATCCTTTCTTATCTTACGTAAACATCATAAAAGGAACCCCTGTGCAAAATTTCAGCTTTCTAGGGTCAAGGGTTTGGTCTGGGCGTTGATGAGTCAGTATCAGTCAGGACAGTCAGATTTATATATATAGATATTAGAAATATTTATTGTAGGTCTATAATAAAGTAAGTCTCAAAATGAATTTTGCAAAAACTAAAGCTGTACAAACTAGTGTGCAATGAACTAGAAGACAGAAAAAATATTCTAATAAATAACATTGGAAATAGTAGAAGAATATATATTTTTATAACTAATACGCAGCTCGGGATTTCTACAACCAGAACTCAACAGAAGAACTCAATCATATTCAAAATTAGAATTCCACTTTATCTAAAGAAGAAAACATTCGACCAATATATACTACCAGTCATGACTTATGCATACTGAAACCTGGACACTTAAAACGGACATTATAAGGAAACTGCAAGTCGCACAACGCTCAGTGGATCGAAATATGCTGGGAATAACCAAAAAAGACAGTAAAAGAATAGAGTGGATACGACAAAAGATTTAGATAATAGATGTCATCCACAGAATCAAATCTCTCAAGTGGCAATGGACAGAAGGTGTGACGTTAAGTGTGGTGTGAAGTGGAATGTCCGGCAAGAAGGACGGACAACACATGGATCACAAAAATTACAGCATGGTACACCACGAGGAAGTAAAAGACCTATTGGATCATGATATTACGAAATTAGCAGGGATAACTACAAAGAGTATCTAAATATGTGAGGATAATTGGAAATGGTTGAGAATAGCTTAATAAATATCTTCGATATAATCTTACAGTATTTGAAGCATATCCGGATTAGCATCAAACTGAACCATTTGATTGGTCCGTACTAGGTTTGCACGTGTTTTCACGTATACTTCCAAGTCGATTCTATAGTTGTACCTTATCTGTGCTGCTGATGGCGGTATAATGAGCTTAGGCTTATCTAAAAAATTACATTTAAAATCAAATTAAAACTTTCAAAAAACACGATTTGAATTAAAACAAACACAGCCTATTGATTTGTTGATTTCAATTTACATACAGGCGCGATTGTCCCATTAGTGCGAGATGAGTTTTGTTGATGTAAATAATAACTGTTTATACCGGGTGTTGCATCGTCGAGCGGGACATAGGAAATCCCATGTAAATTTTAATGGGGTCAATTATTGGCTTCCCTAATTATTTTAGAGAATAATTTTATTTAGGTTTATTGAAGAGCACTAAAACCCACATTCAAAAGAATAACTTTAGATATTTTAGCCCGTTTACGAGTTACCGCCGATTTTTTTTAAATATTTCTCCTTTCTTATGGCCCTGTATTTACTTATGAGCTGAAAGGAATACTATTCCTTCGAATATGAAAAGCACCAAGAGCTACGAGATGGGGACGAAATACGGCGGCAGGCGTTTTGTTTTGATATGATGGAAAGAGCAAACACGGAATTTTTAAAAAACATATGTTTCACAGACGAATGCACGTTTACTTTAAATAATGAACCCAAATTTCAAAATTATCGATATTGGAACAAAGAAAACCAACACAGGTTTGTCGAAACAAGGACGCAATATCCACCTAAAGTAAATGTTTGGGCAGGGATATTCGGACACAATATTATCGGGCCATTATTTCTTACGCGAAATTTAAATGCAGAATATTATTTGGACCTACTCGAAAATCATATTTTACCTGCTTTACATGATACCGCTAGGGAAAATCTGGAAGTTTGGTACCAAATGGATAGCTGCACGGCACATAGTACCCTGGCTGTTCGGGAATATTTAGACAATAGTTTTCACGGAAACGTTATGGGCCTAAATCATACAGTAAATTGGCTAGCAAGGTCTCCTGATATTTCGCCAAATGATTTCTTTCTCTGGGGCCATTTAAAAAACAGGATATACAAGGATAAAAAATACCCAAATCTAGACGAGTTAAGAAATGCTATTTCTGCCGAATGCAATAGAATTTCAGTTTACCAACTAGCGAATGTAAGAAGAGAATTTTATGATCGCCTGGGTTATTGTCTAGCAGTCAATGGAGGAATATTTGAACATATTCTTAAATCTTGAATTTGAATATTGTAATAATGTAATTGATTACTTTATTTTATTTTAATTCATATTAATTTGTATTTATAAATACATCTTTAAGATTTCCGACGTAGGAATGAGTTTTCAATAATAATAAAGCGCTAAATAGGCATATTTCTGAAATGACAACTTCATTTGACAGTTATCTTTTATCTTGACTGGTGCTCATACAGGGCCATAAGAAAGGAGAAATATTTAAAAAGAAATATAATAAGCGATAACTCGTAAACGAGCTAATCAAAAATATCTAAAGGTATTCTTTTGAATGTGGGTTTTAGTGCTCTTCAATAAGCCTAAATAGAATTATTCTCTAAAATAATTAGGGAAGCCAATAATTGACCCCATTAAAATTTACATGGGATTTCCTATGTCCTGTCCGACGATGCAACACCCGGTATATTTAAAATTAATTTATTTTTGTCTCCTAAAATATTTTGATTAAAAGAAAATATGTAAAAGTGGGCAACGCTGTGCCGGTCAAGCTTAATCACGTGACAAAAGTTTAATCGGTATGATCCATATGTGATTGTATGTAAAGATAATGTTCATTTTACTTTTAAATGTGTCCGTATAGCTCTTTGTACAAAAATTAACTACTTGTCCACTGAGTTCTGTACAAGACCATTCAAAAAATAGATCTTTTGTCTTATTGGTTTCCTCGTCCATATTTTCCGAATCGCTTCCATCAACTGAAATACAAATAATCATAAAAAAATAATAGGTACATACAGCCAAAAGTTTTATAATTTTGCACTTTAATTCTTGGAGCTTAAATATAAAACATTGTGTATTAATTTTCTATGCTTACTTGTAGTTTCTTTGTCAGCTGGATAAACCTGTATTGTTTCACCTCTAATTATTGCTTTTGGTGGTGCAGGATCCACATTAAAAGAACACTAAAAGTTATAAAGACACACAAAAAATTTGAGGAAGTAAGTGTAGAAAGTCAATTTGGATTTAAGAACGGCTTTGGTACTAGAGAAGCCATATTCAGTCTTCAAACTTTAGTACAGAATTGCCAAGATCAGAGAAAAGATGTCTTCATGTGCTTTATAGACTATGAAAAGGCGTTCGATAACGTTAAACATAACCTTCTTATATCATACCTCAGAGACTTGGGACTTGATGGAAAAGATATAAGGCTCATCAGTAATTTGTATTGGAACCAAAAAGCTGAAATTCGTATACATAGCGTGGGAGTAACAGAAGATTTTGAAATAAAAAAGGGGGTAAGGCAAGGGTGTATTTTGTCTCCAATGTTGTTCAATTTATATGTGGAAAGAGCATTCACTGAGTCAATCTCCGATAGTCCCATTGGTTTGAAAATAAATGGCATTCCAATTAATAATATCCGATATGTGGATGACACAGTGATATTGGCAGACAATGCAAATATTCTCCAAATCCTTCTAAATAAGGTAAACAGTGAAAGCCAAAGACAGGGTTTAAACATAAATACTACAAAAACTAAATTTATGGCTGTTACCAGAAACAATATTCCGAACACCAGAATTTACTTAAATGGAGAGGTCATCAAGCAGGTCACACAATTTAAATATTTGGGATGCATGGTTAACGAAACGTGGTATCCGGATCAGGAGATCAAATGCAGGATCGAACAAGCAAGATCGACTTTTCTGAGACTGCGAAGATTTCTCAGAGATAGGAATTTGAACTTCGGCCTTAGATACAGAATGGTGAAGTGCTATGTCTGGTCCGTTTTGTTATATGGTGTGGAAGCATGGACACTGAAGGTAGCAACAATAAACCGAATTGAAGCCTTCGAAATGTGGACCCTACGACGAATGCTAAGAGTGCTCTGGGTCGACCGTGTTAGGAATGAAGACATTCTCAGAAGAGCTGGTCTGGAACAACGTGAACTCTTCGAAATCATCAAGAAGAGGAAAATAGCCCATTTGGGACACATACTACGTGGAGAACGCTATCACTTTCAGCGTCTGATTCTCCAGGGTAAAATAGAGGGGGGCAAAAGGGGGATAGGACGAAGGAAGCTATCCTGGCTGAGAAATATTCGTCATTGGACAGACATACAGGACTTCCAAGCACTCCAAGTCGCGGCAGTTAACAGAACCATCTGATGAGGAAGAAAAAGATGAACGCCTACGCGGGAATCTGCACGGCACCTTAAGAAGAAGTATGAGATATCTTAATAGCCGTCAAAAAGTCATCCCAACTTTATTAGAATATTTTGAGTTAAGTGCTGTGAAGGAGGTAGTTTTGTTGATGTAAATAATAACTGTTTATATATTTTCGTTTCCTAAAATATTTTGATTAAAAGAAAATATGTAAAAGTGAGCAACGCTGTGCCGGTCAAGCTTAATCACGTGACTAAAAGTTTATTTGATATGAACTAAATATTTACCGTAGCTGGATTAGCCACTATGGCATTATTATATACAGGAAACACTTTTAGAGTAGCAGCTCCACTTGTAAACCGATATTCAGGAATAAAACTATACTTAACATTTATCTTTTCTTGCTTTAATATTAAATCTTTATCAGTAGTAGCTAAAAAAGAGTTGAAAATAGTTATTAACGGCAATCCGCTATTGTGGATACCTATATATTGTGTACAAATAAGAAGGCAGCTAAGAATACATCATTCAGTGGCCATCTTCACAGACAGCTAAGCAACGCTAAATACACTCTGTGTACATTCACACAGAGTTCCTTTAAAAATTTACTTATTTTTCAAAAAATTAATAATATACTTGTAAGTTTCTTCTACTAACTTGCCGAAAATGGCGGTATAGTAACCAGATGAAACTCTTCAATGTCAAAATCGCAACTTCCAGGATTCTGTTCAATCCGGAAAATAAGTTTTTCGTTTCTTTTTAGACGGGTTGCTGTAGTTACAACTTGCAATCGATTAGTATAGCTATAAATACGATGGTTAATAGAATAAGTTTCGGTATTTTCATTTATTTTTGTTTTACCATGTCAGCTTTAGGGCATTTTGGTTACTGCAAGTTTTTTGGCTATGACCAAGAGCGATAATACCTAGAATAGTGGATATACATATTATGACAATAGATTCTTTGATTTTGTCTTACCAAAAATGAATAATATTAGTTCAAATATCATGTTTGGAGAGTATAAAGTTTTTGACATTTATAATTGGACATTTAATGACATTGGCAGTTTTCAAATCCTTTTTTAATTATTTTTAAAAAGTGGAATTATATGAGAATGTAGTTGAGTGCCTTTAGACTTTAACCTCGGAATTCAATTATTTTGAACGAATTAATGTAAAACCTTCTGTATTGTTTTATACCAGGAGCGTCTCAAAAGTGGCTCTCAAAAGTGACATAAATTAAGATTGACTGACGTACTCAATTATTTTTGGTCACTTCCTGTTTCAACGGAAATGACTACAACTTTTGATTTTTAAATGTCACCCTCGGTATATTTTTACTTTATTCGATAGAAAATGACACTTTAAATAGAATGACATATCATATGTCAACTTTTGATAGTTTCGCTTAAAAAATCTATTTAAATTTCATTCTAGAGTGCTATGACTGTATTAAAAATACATATTTTTAATCAAGGGGCCTTGGAAAAATAGATTTGATAGTCTAATGTTTTTCGTGTGTTGTCCTGGCCGGTTAAAAGATGCCCAAATCGTATTTTTAATCATATTTCAATTTTTTCATATGAAACAAAGGTGGCTCATTAGCATATTTGGAAAAAGCATTTTTTACGAATAATTTGATACCACACACTTGGCATTTCGAGTCAAATTGTCGTTATGAACCGCATGTTACAATTTCAATTAAACCCTTTGAATAAGAAGACTAAGGAAGGAGCATAATGGCTATCCATGTATTCATGCATGGTGGGCGGAAAAAGCGCCATAAAAGCTCTCTAGGGTGGGGATCCTTGACAGTTCTGTTTGACGATTCATTTGACACATTTGAATTTGATTTGAAATTTTGTGGATTTGTCAGTCTTTACGGAGCTTATTTTATGTTATTTATTATTTATTCTACTACTGATAGTTGTATAAAGGTAATAAATCTAGATGGAAATTGTGGCAGCACTTAAATTAACAGTGACACTATCGCGATTTATCGAACAAGAGTCTAAAATAGTTGGTTGTGTAGCGTGCGGTAGATCTCGGCAAAAATTGAGTGAAATAATGGAACAACTTTTCGCTAGTAAGTGACTATATAATATACATACCGATCATTATATATTATATAAAACCGATCATTTATGAAATTCGCTTAAATTAACTAAATTATATATTTTTCTTGCATTTTAGCTTTTATTTATTACTTGTCAAAGATTAGATGTCAAAGAATTTAGATACGTTAATTTGACTTACCTGCTTCAGTAGCGTATCGGATGTTTGTGGTAATAAATACTTAATATAACTTATCTATTTTTATTAGAATTATATATTTTTATAACAATTTTAATAACTACCAACATTTATTCACAACGTAAAATAAAACAACAAATTATTGAGTCTACCCCACGTCTACCCTACATCATAGTTTTACATTTTTTAAATAAAATTAGAACGACACTGATAAACCGGAATTTAAATCGGCCATATTTGAGGCCCATCGCGGTGTACCTAAGATTTTTGATATGCTCCTTCCTTAGTCTTCTTATTCAAAGATTAAACCATATGCGAAAATGTCAAATTTTGACATATGATATATCATTCTGTTCAGAGTGTCATTTTCTATCGAATAAAGTAAAAAAATACCGAAGGTGCCATTTAAAAATCAAAAGTTGTAGTAATTTCCGGCGAAACAGGGAGTGGGCCAATCAATCCTAATTTATGTCATATACTAACATACCAAATCTCGTTTTTTTTTAACTGAAAAAATAAAAAAGTTATAGGGCTGAGCCACTTTTGATACGCACCCAGTAGATAAAATAAAAATACTAAAATGTTTACCCACTTTTTTTTCGTTGTTTTTAATTTTTTATTGTTGTAGTTTTAGTAAATTCTTAGTTATTTCGTTTTTAATTTATTTTTATTTTATTTTTTTTTGGAAGTATATTTATTGAAGTAAATGCATCTAATTCACTAGCTATAGCTATTCTGTGAACTGAAGAAACCGAGTAACTAGTCTCTATAGCTAAAGCTACAAGCTACTTCAAAGACGAAACCAGCTCAAACAATTACAATCTTCGAAGGAAATTATTATTTATTGCTAATGATTTTGTTCGAAAGGCTTTTAAGCTGGACGTAAGCCGTGTAAAATTCGAGGAATTCTTTTTACCTGTACACGGGCGAAACCCGTTTGACAAATGGTTCTTTTCACACCCCGTCAAAAAATCTAATGGCTACGCACGCATCCGCACCATTTATAACGTTTAAAATTAATGAAGTAATCAGTTTAAGGAACATTAGGCTTATGGCCTACGGGTTCGCCTCGATTAACCTTATTGTTTCTGATGTTAGAGATTATCCAGATGGTAGATATATATGGCTTGGTAATACGAGGAACTGTAAGACTGGTCTAAAGGCGTTCAAAAGCCGCTATTAGGTGATGCTTTTTTTGTTGGGGTTATTGACGGGTTATGATGTACGAAGTAGTTAGTAGTTTTCTTTCATTTCTAAGCTACATAGGTTATAGTATATCTAGTGTTATAATATTACGATATAGATTAACGAAGGAGCTATCCATGTATTCAAGCACGGTAGATGGATAAAGGGCTTTGGGTTGGGATTCTTGACAGTTCTGTTTGACGATGCATTTGACAAATTTGAATTTGATTTGAAATTTTGTGGATTTTTCAGTCTTTACCAAGCTTATTTTATGTTATTTATTTTTTATTCTACTACTGATAGTTTGGTTTGGTTTTGTTTGGTAGCAAATCTATTGTAATATTATTTAGTTACTATATGTGGTGCTTGCTCGCTGATTTATAGTCACAATTATTTTTTTTTATAAAAATATCAAATAAAATATATTACGTATGAAGATATTGCCGTATATATTTCTATTTTTTTATATAACCAAGATACATGTGGTACCTAATGATTGGTTTATTATATCGCACCTTTAAGTAATAGCGTCCACTTAAACATCTCTCTTCCTCCTTTTGTTCGAAACAAAACAATTCAATTCCGGTCATTATCGGCACCGCCTCGTTTTTCATCATCGTACCGCCAGTACAGGTGCAAGCCGGTGGTACCGAAAAACAGCGTTCCAACGAACAATAAAAGTAATTTTTAATTCATGACGCAATAGTGCGTGTGGGGCCTTAAGCCTTTAAGTTAATTTAACGCAGATAAGGAAAAGTCTAGAGAATAGAAAAGAAATTTTGATTAATGAAGGGGAAGACAAAAAAACATGAAAATAAACTTATTCAAAGGTGTCGTGGAATAGATGTAATTTGTATTTTCGGTGACACATTTTCTAAAAGCATTCCTTTTCTCGTTGTCTTGATATTAGTCAAAAGAAAAGAAATAAATGGATATAAGATTGTTGAGGATAACTATAGTTGAATGCTTTTAGTGGATGATTCATTTTGATTGAGGGATGCTTCATTTTTTGTATCTATATCATCTTTTAAGTAAAATGTTTTCTTTGAAAGAATATAAATTTTATTAAGAAACTTTTACTGAATAATTTCAGTTTTAATTTTTTTCCTGAACAAATAGGTGTTAAAATCTTGTTCGATAATTTCTTTAAGTCAGATACTAATTTATGATAATTCTACCATACGATTGAAAAAAATTCCGTTAAAAATGGCTGGGGAATGCCAATCGATAATAATTTTGGCGAGGTCAAGCCTTACTGTCGGTTTAAATGTTCTTACGCAAAGATGTTTAGATGTAAATCAAGATGTATACATTTGTTTTATAAACTTCAAGAAGGCGTTCGACAGAGTTCAACACAAAAAACTAATCGAAATATTACAAAGAAAGAATATTGATAGTCGAGATAAGATTGATACTGAATCTTTATTGGGGACAGACCGCTAAGATCGAATTAGATGATAAAAAACAAACTGGATAAAATTTTCTCACATTTATGTCAGCATGAGAAAAAACAATCGAGAAACCCCTGCTTATCGAACCTCTACACCCCACAGTCAATCCGTTTGCCAAAAATCAGCTTTAAAGCAGTTTAAGCAGAATCGTGATTACTCATGGTCATATTTTATGAAACACCCTGTATAAATTTATAAAAATCTTAAAATGTGTAAAACAACAAAATAAAATATACGCGTTTAAGACTTTTTCCGAAAAACTCACCAGTTTTTAAATTAAAAATATTTTAATATTTGAGGGATAGTTTCACCCCCTTAGAATTCGAGTCTCGAAAAATCCCTTCTTATCGAACTTCTACACCCTAAAGTCAATCCGTTTTCCAAAAATCAGCTTTTTACGTCAAGCGCTTTAAGCAGGATCGTGATTAATCAATGACCAGATTTTTCGAAATACCCTGTATACATTATTAAAAAATCTTAAAATATGTAAAAAAAAACAAAATAAAATATACGTGTTTAAGTGTTTTTTCAGAAACTTGACCGTTTTTTAAATAAAAAATATTGTAATATTTGAGGGGTGGTTTCACCCCCTTGGAACTTCTTATCGAACCTCTACACCCTAGAATCAACCTGTGTGCCAAAATTGGGCTTCTTACGTTGAGTGGTTTGAGCAGGATCGTGATTAATCAGTGTGTTAGTCACTTAAGGATTTTATTTTTTTTCCTTTTTCTTAAACCTTTAGAAATTTATATATATTTTTTTTTCTCTCCTTTCTTGGGTATGAGGTTTTTTTTTATTAATTAAAAATGGAAACTTTTTTTTTTTATTTCGCCTCATCATGGTGGGCTTCTCATCATGGTGGGAATCTTGAAGCCGCAGCCGCCTTGCTACCACCAGTCTATATAGAAGAATGTGAACACATTTAATAAACAATCCTTTTTTTAAATAATAAAAAAAAACCTCACTTACGGATTTTATATATTAGTATAGATTGAGGAAAAATGATTTTTAAATGATAAATTCGAGAAAAAAATTGGAAATACATTTTTGTATATCTGGAAATGGTCTATCCATTTTTTAAACTTTCTATAGTTAGTGTTAATTTTTGAGTTTCATGACAATTTCTATTAAATAACGTCTAGAGATTGACCTCGCCAAAATTATCATCGATTTGTTATTTCTCAGCCGTCTTGGACGCCGTTTTTTTATCGTACGGTATTTATGAACAAAACATACACGTTCAGGCAATAATAAAATCCTTTATTTCTATTGTTTAATTCTTACATCGCTATTTTTCGCTATCCAGTCCAAATACATAGTCACTCGGGTATAGTAAGACTCGCTCAAACAATTACCGCTGGATAAAATCCCGATTATAAATTTTTTTCTCCAAACTAGAGGCGATCCAGAATCGCCGGAACACGGCGTTTGGTCTTTTTTTCCGAAGGCACAAATCAAGTATTTGGGTCCTCTACATAGTAAGTCATCTTCCGGGACTGTAACGATTGCTTTCTTCAAAACGAACGAATTGGTAGCATTTTCTGTAAGCCCCCAGCCGGCAACTACAGCTTTAGCTCCCTTAAATCTCTTCTTAACCTATGAATGGATAAAATATAATTTATATACAGATATGAATATACCGGGTGTTGCATCGTCGAGCGGGACATAGGAAATCCCATGTAAATTTTAATGGGGTCAATTATTAGCTTCCCTAATTATTTTAGAGAATAATTCTATTTAGGTTTATTGAAGAGCACTAAAACTCACATTCAAAAGAACAACTTTAGATATTTTTGATTAGCCCGTTTACGAGTTATCGCCGATTTTTTTTAAATATTTCTCCTTTCTTATGGCCCTGTATTTACTTATGAGCACCAGTCAAGGTAAAAGATAACTGTCAAATGAAGTTGTCATTTCAGAAATTTATCTATTTAGTGCTTTATTATTTTTATAAAAACTCATACCTACATCGAAAATATTAGCCATGAATTACACTACCGAAGAAAAAGTATTGATGATTAAATGGTATTATCAAGGAAATAGTTATCAAAAGGTGTCGGACATGTTTGCTGCTCTGTATCCGAATAGACCGATACCTGGAAAATCTACAATCGCAAGGAATATCCAGAGATTTGAGATCAAAGGTACCCTAATAAATAACTGCAGATGTGAAGCAAGGCAGGAACAAAGAGAAGATGCAAGAAATGATACCCACTTGGAAGTTTTATTGTGCGTGGAAGAGAACGATGGAAAGATCAGCACAAGGAAACTTGAGGATGAAAAAGGAATAGATCACACTACAGCGTTTCGAATTTTGAAACGACATAAATACTATTCCTTTAAATATGAAAAGCACCAAGAGCTACGAGATGGGGACGAAATACGGCGGCAAAAACTATGCTATGCGATGTGGCGTTTTTTTTACAAGAAACAAAAATGTAGTAAATACTAGAAGGACCATATTACGAAAAGAAAACATGTCGTCGGTGGATTAGGAAAATATTTTTACTAAAATTTATGTAGGGGTGAGGGTAGTTTTAACCGTTCCCGTACATTTCCTTGATTTTTGTGAAAGTCAAATGTTAAAACACTTAACAAAATATAGACATCCAAAATTTCATTCAAATCGGAGTAATAATTCTTAAAATATGTGAAAAAATGTGTTTATTATTTTTTAAAGTTTGATGCCCTCTAACGTATAGAAGAAAATTGTGTTCAATGAAGAAGATGTACTGTAATATGAAAACAAAGATGGACACTACATTTGAACATACATTTTGCAATATGTTTTTCAATAAATTATTTTAATACATACCTGTGATTTGTCTGGCAATTTTATCAATCCTACTTGTCTGCTTAGGCGTACTGGCTTAAGCAATTTAACTAATGCAATATCGTTTCGGGCAAACCCATCATTACTGACCTCATACAAAGGGTGTACGATAGTTTGATTAGTTGTTTGGTATGGTTTGTCAGTGTCTTTAAGATTGAGGGTACCATAGATTACGTTCACGGACCAAATGTCCCTAAAACAATATGAACTTAAAATATCTAGTGTCTGGGTACCTTTATTCTAAATAAACAAGACAATTTTATACAAAGCAAGATATCTTGAACCCTCTATGATTGCAAATATGGTTATTCCGTTGTGAACGGTACATCAAACAAATTAAAATTACTTTGAACAAAACTTAGTTTTCCTACAAATTTGGGTAAACCCCCAAATTGAATGCATCTTTTTGACATAAAATAGGTAGATTCTGTGCAATGGTGGTAGTTGCAAAAACTGAAAAGGCACTGCTGATCAACGCCAACACTAGTTTGATTAGAGTTAAAATTGGATGATTAGAGTCTTAAATTGGATGAAAACAAAAATAAACATCAATTAGCCCCACACAGGAAGGAGGCAATTTTGTTGGCCAAACAAAAGGAAAATATCTGAAATATATTTTAACCTTGAAGATGTACAAATTAAACACAGCAAAACCATTAGGTACTTAGGAGTTTGGCTTGATACTAAAACGGTAACCAAAGCAAGCAAAATATTAGCTTTACTGTCGTGTCTACTTCCAAATGCCGTTGGAAAAAGCTTCTAAGAGAAGGGTTCTAGTGGGAGTCATTCGCTCCCAACTTCTGTATGCTGCACCTATATGGTACAAGATAATGGAAAATAATAAATATAGATCGAAAATAAATAGCATACAGCGTACAGCGGCTATAAGAGTCAGCAGTGCCTACAGAATCATTTCTGCAAAGGCTGTTCGTGTTATAACGGGTATATAACCCCAATGGGCATCTCTAGGTTCAAGAATGAGTTGAAACCAACCAAGGAACTTTGAAAACTGAAGCTAGAAATAAACTATGGATAGAAGGCAAGAAGAATGGATCAACGGCAAGTATGGAAGGTGGACGTATAGTTTATAATTCCTAATATTAGAGAATGGGTAGAGATACCATAATGGTGAAGGAGATTATTATACCACCCAGACCCTGTCCGGCCATGGGTGTTTCAAAAGTTATCTATTCAATGTTCAATGGGACGATATCACCAGCATCATCCAAACAGATGGTCTGGGTTAAGACATCGGTACTATATAGCTATAAGCGTTCCTTTTACAGCAGAATAGCTATGATGAATAGCCTGAAAGGAGGAGAACAAAACTGGACTCTGGCCTACACAGTAATAAAAGGAATCATAAAAATTAAAGAGGAAGAAGCAGTATATACTGACGTGATGTGTCGTAGAGAAGGGAGGAGGTAGTCAGTAGGAATCTGACACTTCGATATATGCTAGATTTCCTCTAAGAATGGTTGTCGTCTTGGCGCACTCAGTGATGAGGTGTTCTAGTGTTTCCCCATTTTCCCTACATAATTCGCCGTTGTTTCATAGCTTCAACCTACTGGAGTGTTCACTGAGATGACAGTGTCCTGTTAAAAACCCCGTGATAATCTGAAGATTGCTCCTGAAGAAGTCCTGAGAAATTTCTTCGAGTGTCTTAGACCGTTGGAGGATTCCCATTCCAGGTTACGGATGGAGTCTTCCAGGATCTTGAGTTCCGCTTTAAGTTTCAATAATATAGTTAATAAAAATCTTACTTTGAATTCTTAATACAATGAGCAGCTGTGAGGACGTATTTTTCTGAGACCAAAGCTCCGGCACAATTTTTTATTTTTCCATTGTTAAAAACGACCACAAGGTCCACTAAATAGGGCTGTTCGTATATTTTGGGTATTTCCCCATAAAGAATTCTAGCTTGTCCCTCTTCGCGCTCTGAACTTTCAATACTCAAAGATGCTCTAGTTGATAATTTTAACGAAAAAAGAATGAGTATTGAAAGGACGTGATACTTCATGGTATCGAAATATAATGTAATCAAATATAGGTAATAATTTTTTAGTAAGTTAACAAAGACTCATAAAATATTTATTGTTCTATTGTAATCTACAATAATAATTATTTGCAATATACCGAGTGCGTCTCAAAAGTGGCTACAATCTCTATAACTTTTTTATTTTTTCAGATAAAAAAAACGAAATTTGGTATGTTAGTATATGACATAAATTAGGACTGATTGACGTATTCAATTCTTTTGGGTCAGTTCCTATTTCGCCGGTAATGATTACAACTTTTGATTTTTAAATGGCAACCTCGGTATTTTTTACTTTATTCGATAGAAAATGACTCTCTGAATAGAATGACATATCATATGTCAACTTTTGACAGTTTCGCTTAAAACAAAATTATATTTTAAATTTCAATCTAGAAGCCTTGGAAAAATAGATTTGATCGTCTATTTTTCATCACTTCCATTTCAACCACGGTGAGAAGAAGAAGAAGAAGTCCCAGGGTGGTTTTCATCTATCTAGAAAAAGTATTTTTTACATAGTATGAGGCGGAGAATAGCCGAGCGTATAAGTTATAGTCTTTCTTCTTTTCCTTCCTTTCCTATATTTAGAGAAAAATAATTTATTATGGACTGTGTCCCCTACCATCTGAAGGGGAAGAATTGACATTTTGGGAGGAGTTTTTTTGGAGAAGATTTTGAGAACAGCTGTAGTTTTTTTTGCAAGCAGCAGTATTTTGGAGAGAAGTTTTTTGAGTATTTTTTCGAAGAACAGAAGCAGAAGCTTCTGGAGCAGTTTTTGGATTGTTTTATGGTTTCGTGAAAGTTCCCAAGTGTTGGGGGTGGTGTGAACTGGCGAGTTTCCCCTTTCCGTAAATAATTTTCGAAGTTTTTTGATGGTTTGGAGCAGTTACGTCATGAATATGGGCCCAAGAACGATAGGAAATTAACACTAATTGTCTACAGCTTCAGAGCAAAAGCTAAGTACTCATTTATGTATTGTTCTAGAATTTTTTTCGCTTCTTTCTTAACTTTAAACATTTTTATTGAAACCTTTTAATGAAACTTTAACGCAACAATTACATTTGGTAATTTATAGATATATAATTTAAGTTTAAATATTAAAATAACATAAATTTATTGTATATTTCTTTAAATGACCTTTTTTTCTTATTCATTTTCAGACTAGAGATTTAATCTATTTAATTATTAATAATAGTTATTTTTTATACAAGACGATAAAATGGTATTTTATGAAATCACGAGTGAATTAATTTCGGGAGACGATAATACAATTTTATTGTCGTGTATAAAACAATACTTTTTTCCATAGCGAGTTACGTATTAAAAAATATTCAGATATTATTATTTCAAGGAATTTATTACTGGTAGAAAAAATATTGTGCTGGGTTGGCGTTGGTTTCTATGTAATTTGACAAATAAATAAAGCTGTCTCTTTAGTTGTCAGTTTTGAGTCAATATATTTTAATTCTCTTTCTCATCGATTGCTGATTGAATTGGAGCCAGAAATGGCTCAAAACGAAATAAGTAATTACCAACAGATATTCAGGCTGAGGCGACAAACGCCATATCCAAACTACTTCCATTTAAATCCCGAATAACTTGATGATCAAAAATGGAAGCAATTAAAAAACGTGCGAGAAGAAATAAAGTTCCAAACCAAACCAAACCTATCCTCGCTGTTAAAGAATCATTTAATCTACCCTTACGAAGTACTATTTTATCTACTATTTTTGATAGATATAAGGCAATTTTAACAGTTGCTATGGAAAAAATGTACATAGTTTTTTTGATTGAATTTTGCTGTTTTAATTTGAGATATATTACAGAACATCTTTAGCCTGTGGTAATTTTTCTTATTTTTTTAAATATCACATTAATTTGGCTTAAATTAAGTGACGAAATGAACCTTCACCTATTCTTCGCCAGATGAAGAGCAACTGACGCTGCAGTTTTCTTTTTAATCTTTACCATCTTTATAATATATAATTTTTTCTAACCTTTTAGAAAGTCGCCGCAAACTATAGTTTAAAATTTCTATATATTATTGTTAATATATATATTTTTTTTCTAGAGGTCTTAAACCAAACCAATTTAACGCCACGTGCACGCGTTCCTATGTTCATTTCGGAAAATGTTACAGGATGATGGCAAGCGCGCGGCTTTCTCACGCATCGCTAAGTGATTTGAAAGAAGAGCGAGTCAGGGCAACACGGGGCGCAGTCCATAAAGAATTAATAGGTGGAAATTATTTACGTTAAACGAGGGTTGGGCAGGAGCGAGAGGGGTGCTGTTTGACGGGGTGGAAAAGCTTAATTATGTACGCGCCGTCTAAATGAACTGCGAAGTATATATGGGAAAAAAGAAAAGTACCGATTTAGATGGGTTAATCGAATTATTATTATGTGTAAACTGGTCTCGTGGAAGTTTCAACCGCGTGACCTTTTCGGAAAAAAATTGGATAATCAAATGCGGTGGAAAATTTCAAAACATTGTGTTTACGCGGTATGATAATGTAGTTGAAAGTTTTCTATTAAAAAATATACATGGAAAGCATCTAGAAAGTTTCCAACTAGATTTTTAAAAACGAATGCTCAGTTGCTAAAAGGGAGTTTCAAGCTACCTTAAATTACTCATACTGATTGATTTACTCATACTCATACTCAACAAACAGGATTGGCAACGTCAAAAAGGGGCAGACCAAAAAAACCTTTGATGAAAGTTAGTTAAGAACAAAACAAAGAGACTACAATCAGTTTGTTTCTGAAGTACCTTTGGAAAAATTATGTTATGTTTCTGAATGAAGTTTGCTTAAAAGCGGATAAAGAACTACCTCGATCCCCATAATATATTTTTACCGAAAAACGACACAAAAAAAGAAAACCCTTTATTCAAGATGTCACAAGGATGTTGTGTCTCCCCGATAATGTTGCTAAAGGTGATGAAGTGCCAGCTGATGATATCAATGATGATGAAATAGAAGATAGCGATGATTCAGAATGATTCTTGAGGTACATCGTTTTCACCAAATTTTTGACTCTTTTTGTGCATATTTCCAGTAAATCAATGATTTTAATTATTACTTAGAATATGAAATTATTAATTTTTTAGTAGAAAATATTTTTGTCGTCTTAAAGTAGACAATTTGCCGTATGTGCGCTGTGCACAATTTTAGAGGCCATAAGTGGGCGTGCTATGTGTGCAAATTAGTCACCTAACTAGTGCGTGACTCCGAAAATTGGAACGACGAAAAACAATGCTTTTGATGATAAATTTATAATCTGTATAATCTGTGATTTTTACAAATTTCTTATTAAAAATACTATAGAATGTAGAATGTTTAGGAGGAGAGTTAATCACCGCGACCTTATAGATCTATTGTGTGTTCCCCTTTCTTGAGTTATAACGAGTTATAACTCATCATACAGTCTCAGGGCTTTAAGAAAAGCCAGTATCTGAGACGGCTCCACAGAGGCCAGCTCTCCATCCTCGACATCAGACGTACCAAGGTTCATGGCACGAATGGTCGTCGTCTCGGCGCACTCAGTGATAAGGTGTTCTGGTGTTTCCCCATTTTCCCCACAAAATCTGCATTCGCCGTTGTTTCTCAGTTTCAGCCTACTGAGGTGTTCGTTGAGGAGACAGTGTCCTGTTAGAAAGAAGAATTGATGGTTACTGAGTTGATCGCGTTAAGTGCTGCTTGAAGATGGCAATTTCCTGTTTTCGATAGTTCCTATCTAAGATAAATTGTACGCATCTTTCGATAGCGCAAATTTCTGCCTGAAGGATACTGGGGTAGGTGCCCATTGGTTCGGAGTATTCAGTTTTCGGCCCAAATACTCCTATCCCTGTCCCTGCTTTGGTTTTGGAAGCATCAGTATACCACGTGATGGTATGGTCTTTTATATGCTGAGTAAGCGTTTCTTTCTTCCAATCCTTTTTATTACTCAATACTACAGTGAGGTGTTTCTCAAAGTTGTAAATTCTTGGTATGTCATCCACTGGGAGTTGGAGAAGTGGAATTTTCTTTTTGAGGGTGTTCCAAGCCCCTGACCTGAAAATTCTCCCAGTACTGTTTCCGTCAATGACCATTCTAATCATTGTCGCATTGGCATAACTACCGACGACAATATGCAGTGGTGTTAGGTCTAGAATGACCTCCATTGCTGCTGTTGGACATGTTCTCATGGCACCTGTGATGCAGATACATGCCAGTCTCTGTACTTTGCACAGGGTTTGCCTTGCTGTACGTTGCTCTAGTTTTGTATACCAAGCAACTGCTCCATAAGTAATCATGGGTCTTACTATCATGGTATACATCCAGCGCAAAATGTTAGGGGCGCAGCCCCACCTATTTCCCGCCAGTCTTCTGCATATCATGAGAGCCTTTGTGGCTTTGCTGGTAATGTTCTTAATATGCCTGTTCCAGAGAAGTTTCCTATAATCCAGGGTTATTCCCAGATGGCAGTATTTCCTTTCCATCTAGATGGATTCTTTTCAAGTTTTTCAAACTTCGCTTTCTGGTGAATGGCACTACTGCGGTTTTATCTGAGTTAATACTCAGCCCGACAGTCCTGCACCATCTCTCAGCGATGCGGAATCCTCTTTGGATAATATCACACAGGGTGCCTTTACGTTTCCCCCGTGCAATGATGAATATGTCATCTGCCTACCCTATGCAGTGTATTCCCGCTAGAGTTAATTCTTCCAGTAGTTCATCCACTACCAAGCTCCACAGTAGGGGGGAGGTCACTCCACCTTGTGGAGTTCCTTGCGTTGTTTTAACAACTACTGTTTTGGTACCTATCTCAGCCTCTGCTGTTCGTGTTGAGAGCATTTCCCAAAACCAGCGAATTATCGTACTGTTCACCCCTCTTGTTTCAAATACTATAATGTATCAATATTTTTTTTTGTAAAATTACTTATATTTTTTTCAGTGTAGAGCCGCCTATGTATGTTCAAACGTGGATACTCGAAAACCTAAATAG